ATAATAATCAACATTTTTAGATAAATAAAATAATGATTATTCTAATATATATATATATATATATATACCATTGCTTGCTTCTTTCTCGTTAAAATTTCGCATTCACTGTTCCACGCGTTACGCGTTCGACATCCGAAACGGAAAAAAAGTGAAAAAGAAAAAAAGGTGAGACAAGTTGGTTCGAAAGTCCTAACCTAAAGTATCAAAAGAAGAGCTATTACGACGACAGAATTTCTCGATTCTTTTTCTCCAAATGTTGGCTGCGGTGACGGTCGAAGTTAATTGGCCCAAAGCCGATCGGCGGCTTTTCACTCGTCGAAAACGGAGAAAATCGGTCGCAATTAAACAACGTTCCCCTCGCCTCCTCCGACGGCCGTTAAACGATGAAATCGAGGCGACGCTTTCGAGAGCTAACTCAATTCCGACCCGATGCGGAGATACCGCTTTTTATTCGCCCGGTTAGATACAGACGTCTGCCTGTATGGAGACGAGAAACGTTCTCTCGCGCGCGAGAAAGAGCTTTTTTCCAACGATGGAGCCGCGACCGGTTGGGCTCGCTCGATTTTTCTTCGGCGTAGGCCGATCTCGATACCCGTTGGAGGTCGCAAAAAAGGAAAAAAAAAAAAAAAAAAAAAACAAAAACCTACGACTTTTACTTATACGCAACGATGTCGAGAATAAAAGTGTGGAAATCAGTCGTGAAACTTTCGTCGATGTTGCAGATGAAGCTACTATTATATCTAAATAAATCAATATATACAAATTTTACGATAGATAGAGTTATGAAAGCTTGGGATTTCGGTTTTTCCTCTGGATTTAGTTTTAGAGTTTCCCCTAGGAGGAAGATCGGCGGCGTGATTTTTTATTCAGTGAAATAGCGGGGGTGTCGCGAAGAGTTGGAGAGTTAAAATGGAAAGAACAGAAGGGCGAGGGTGTCGCGGGATCTGCGTGAAAAATGGCGCTCACGAATGGGGAAGCTTCAGAAGAGAGATACGTGTGCGACTCCTGCTCTTCGTAAAAATTGTTCGAAGGAATGGATTGAAAAGGTGTATAAGACGACGAGAGGAAGGCATTGATCACCTGGTGCCCATCTAGCCGCTCTCTTCGGGGGGGGGGGGGGGAGAATTAACTTGCCAAGAAGGAATTGCTTGCCGAGCACGGTGAGAACGGTTTTCATTCAATGAAAATAGATAAATTCCAACCGCTATTCACTTTTCATACTCTTATTAAAACCGTTTAGAAAACGGTTAATTATTTATTTCCACAATTTCCACATTACTTTTCTCACATTAATTTTCTAATCTATCTTCATTCGACGATAAAAATGACATACAGGAATAAAAATCATTCGTGTAAAGTATAAAATGTTTCCTTTTAATTAATTTTATTAGAATCTCAGATTTCTTTATTAATTGATCGATTAGATTAACCATTGGTAGATAGTATTGTAAAAAAAGAAAAAAAGATATTCATTTTGAACTCTGTTGTATAATTTTTATACAATATTAGATAGATATAGATTTTTGCAATAATTATTATTTTTTCCCCCTTTTATAACATTATAAAAACATGATAAAAACGTATTATTATTACCAGATATTGTCAGATTGGTCAGCCATTTTGTTGATGTTGTTGATAAAGACTGGTGAAAAAAATTTTCCAACTCAACATCGATACGAAAGACGCGAGGGTGTAAATTCGAACAAAATGTTCGAAGCATTTTAAAGGATATTAAAATTTTAACCGATAAAAATAAACAGAAGAAAAGAAAAAAAAAAAAGGAAAAAGAAAACGCAATCGAATTCATCGTCACGGAAGAAAGGACTCAAAAGCGCATCGAGACGATTCCCAAAGGACCTGAGAATATTTCTCATTTCCCGTAATCGGAGAACCTCGTCGTCCTCCTCTCGCTCGTCCCTCTCCCCCAACCGAAATGCAAACCGTCGTCGTCGTCGTCGTCGAAACAATAGCGGCCCGTCACCGACGCGAGGTGACGCGAGAGCGAGAGAGCGAGGAGAAACGCGGAGGAGAGACAAATAGAGCGGACGAGGGATAAAAGGGACGAGCCGAGGAGAAACGAGAGAGGTCGTATTATTAAGCAAGTAAATTAATAGAGGCTGTGGAATGGAGAGGAGGGTTGGATATATTCCACGATAAACAATGCCTACGGCTCGTTCCGAGTTTTGCACGACGAGCCGGCCCTAGTACACGTTCGAACTCGTGGGTCCTCTCGAGAGGTGGGGGGAGAAGAGGCGGCAAGGGACACAGAGAGAGAGAGAGAATCAAAACTACTCGGTGCGTGAACGAAGGAGCGAGCGAGGAGAAGTGGAGAGGAGAGCCGTGTTTGTGTGTGGACACGAGGGTTGCTAAGCAAAGTAAGTAAAGCACCTGTGGGAGCTTGGCTCGCTTTCGAGGGTGGAAGGAGGTCGCCGCGTTAGAGGTGGAAGAAGGCGGGAGAGGAGAGAAGGGGGAGCAGAGCAACCGAGGAGAGAGAGAGAGAGAGAGAGTGGAAGGAGGGAGAAGGAGGAGGAGGAAGAGAGAACAGAGAGGCCTGGCGAACAGGCGAGCCAACCCCGGGAGGAAGCCAATCAATAAACTCACTCACTCGCTCTCCTACGAAGAGAGACCTACTACTGCTCTCCCTACGCTCGCAATGCGACTATATATACAGCCAACCTGGAAGCCTCCATTACGTACGCCCACTCGGCCTGCCTACAGCCATTTTGTAACCGTTCGCCGTGCACGGTTTCCTCTCGAATCTCCTCTCTGTGTCTCCTCACCCCCCTTTGCGAGAAAGAGAGAATGAAGGAGAGAGAAACGGTGGAGGAATCGGAGACGACGTTCCTGCACACACGTTCAAAGATGACGAGGAAGAGAGAGAGAGAGAGAGAGTCGTGGTTCGGCGAGATCAAAGGAATTGGGAACGGGTCTCGAGGAAGATCTAGCTCGATATTGAATTCTTCTCGTCGCGATTTTTATAATATATCCTTGAAAATTTTCTTCTTCTTCTAATTATATATATACATATATATATATATATATAGGCTTTATCGAAATTCTCTCTCGTGAAACGAAATACGAATGTACGAATATTTTATTCTTACAGGAGGAAGGAACTCTTTCAGCGAGACACAAGAGTTTTTCTATGATTCCTCTTAGGAGTTCGCGTTCGAAGTTATAACGGATGAGTAGCGCATAACGAGAGCCAGAGATAAAAGTGCGCGAGATAAAATGTGTTTTGAAATAGTGGGGAGAAAAAAAAAAAAAAGGGAAAGCGGAAAAGAAACGAGGATTTAGATTTACGAGGCAGGAGAGGAGAATAATCGAGCGCCCCGTGGGGAACCAAGTGTTTCCAATTACGCCTAGCGTCGAAATCTATGTCAATGTCTCATTTTGTCAACGGCACGCGACACATGGTTTTCGAAAATAACCCTCCGCGTTCCCACGAAAACTCTGTCCAGAAGATTCCAAGACTCTGCGCGCCATCTATCGGGCCACGTTATTGAATGCAGGTTGCTCTTCCTCTGCGTTTCCCCCTTTTTTTCGCGTAAAATATTCTCACGAATATCATTAAACCGTAAATATTTAAAAAAATATATATATATATATATAAAAATATTTGATCAAATTCCAATAAACGTATAAAAATAGAAAAATTATTATACCTGAGATTAATTCTACGATAAATACAGTGGCAAAGAATAAACACAAATTTCGAATTATAAAAGAAAGCCTCTTCTTTTTCCCCTTCTTCCCTCCTTCCCGCGTTTCGAATGAACGCGCCCCGTCGGCCGAATCGAACAAAGCAACTTTCTCCCCTATAATTTTAATTCCATCCTCGATAAATAATCGTTCCACCGTTCCGACAGATTTTGATATATCGCCGTTGTATCGCGATACAACGGATCCGCGGGCGAAATAAATATCCGTCGTAAATTCGGCCGTCACTTTTTCGCCCGTGGCCGGCCATTATTAATCAAAACACGGATCCGTAACGAAAATATGGAATCCGTTGAAAATACACGCGTGGAAATCACTTAACTCGGCCGATACGCAATGTTTGCGGCGAATTCGTGTCGTCCTCTCTCGAAGCGGCGACTCACTCTCGGCCTCTTTCCACTCGCCATCGATATTCCGCAGTCTCCCTACAAGATGAAGTACAAGGGTCCTCGTGTTGACAGCACCCTCGTAACTCTTATCCACGAGCGGCAAGAACGAGCATCCGGTTTGCTCGTCACCCTTCTTCTTACGGATTAATTGTCGGCCACCTTCGGTGGACGTGCGTTGTTTTGTAAATATACTCTACTTCTTCTCGAGGTTTTTCACGAGGGGAACGAATAAGATTGAAATGGGGGTAAAGAACGATTCGTAGGATTGGTTTGGAGACGATATGAATTTGTCAATTTGTTTCTCTTGTAAAAGAAATCTTAATCAACGTCACAACGCAATTGCTGCGCAGATGCATTTATATCTAATCGAGTTATACACATATTGTACACATATAGTTTAACCTCATGATTAATTTTTATATTAAAAATCAAGCAATCTAACATAGATATGAAAAATAATAAAAAAAAAAAAATCTCGTTAAATTATCTTGCACGCGTTAGTTAGTTAGTGTTAAACTTACCGAAAATTTAAATTAAAATTTATAATTCACGTCAAACACTAATTTTTATTAGATACAGAATCTAAATGAAACTAAAAAGATCGTTTGGAATAAACGTCAACGGACCGCTTAAAGCTATGTATACCAGTTACATCGAGGGAAAGATATTACGGATTCGCGATAACGATAACCATTTCTGCCGGGATATGTGTAACGAGTACGAGAGATCGTGACTCTTGTTTTAATGGCGGCACCGTGAGCGGCTCTCGAAAGCTGCGCGAGAAAGGGCGAGAGCGAAAGCGAGAGAGAGCGAGAGCGAGAGAGTGTGGAACGCGACTGGTGGTTTAATCTAATGGAGCCGAGAGACCATGAAACCTGGTGATAAACTTACCCGTAGGCGGCCAGGGTTGGATCGTAGGGGTAGTAACCCGTGGCGGCAGGTTGAAGGGCGGCCGTGCCCCATGCTGCACCCATATCCGCCGTCATCCCCATTCCCGTCGTGTCCTTCAATCCGTACGGATTTCCCTGCAATCGAATAGCATAATTAATTACTCTGGAGGTTGCAAGTGTTTAAACAACGTTCGTTTAAAGATTGGAAATTTTAAATATCTTTATTTAAGTTAGGTTAACTGTCTAAGAGAATCAAGAAAGACCGAAATATTATAAATTTTCAATTTGCACGAATTTTAATTTTAGTTAAGAAAATTAAAAGAAAATTTTAATAGAGAAATATATGTGTGATACAATGAAATTCTAAAGATTGTTATTAAACGAGAATTATTTATATAAGAGTAGGCGAAGACAAGCGACGCGATCCATCTTCCACCCTTTTATCTATCCGTATATTAAGGTCAGTTACGAGTTAAGACCGCAATGTAACATCTAGCATTATTGTAAACACTGGATACTATATGACAGCGCTACATCGACTTTTAAAACGATGATCGATTAAGTACAAGCGACGATGGTTACCAAGAATGAATACATTGTCTCAGAGTACCTGCACTTTCCCTTGAGCTGAAATAAATACTACCACACGGTATAAAACTCGACAACGTGTACCATTTATCCGTACGATTACACGCGACGTACGAGGTATCTCGTATGCGAATGTTAACAAGAACGACACAAACACGTGAATCGCGGCCGTGAAGAATGATACCGATGGTGTTATTTTTGCCATTGCTTCGTGACTAATTTCGTCTCGAAAACTCGAATATACGTATCCCTCGAACGGTCTACACTCGCGTGACACGATTTATGGCCCATTCGAAATAAAATCGATCGATCCATCATCTTAATCGGCGATTTCGCGGCAAATTCGTTGCGACGAATCAGTCAAGCCATCGACAAGTGACTGACCATCCGTTAATCGAAATACACTGGCCACAAAAGATCCCACAACGTTGGTTCGACGAATATTTATTCGTCGTATAGACTTGGCAGTTATCCCCACCACCGAAAATAAATTCTCGTCGGATCCAATAAGAAGCCAGAAATTTCACATAAATTTCTTCAAACGTTTGAACTCTCTATCCCACTTCGTCTTTCGCTATTTTAAAATAAGCTGTCACTCTCTACGATCGAGTCATGGTCCACGAAGAAAAAGTGAGGATCGAATTTCGCTTCTCTGCAGTTATATGGATGGGCTCGTGGCCAATCCCTAGCAGTAGGCTTATCGCTTCAACGCTTTTTTCCCTTCAGAATTTTATGTTTCTTTGGAAGAAAATAACGAAATTGAGAGACGAAGAAGCGAAATAAACTTTGCAAGTTGGAAATTCGTTTTCCTAGCATAAATGCTATTGAATTTTAACACTTCTTCGCTTAGTAATTCTTTCGAAATTAGAGAAGAACACAAAGAGGGACGAGGCGTGCCGCTACAAAGCACGTCATAAAGAAGCCTCTCGCGTTGGAAACGGAGGTAAAGGTTCACAAAAGGATCTAAGAAAAAAAAAAAAAAAAAAAAAAAAAATAAGAAAGCGACGTTCAGCGAGAAGAAGCACGAAAGGGACGGTGGCGGCGCGTTCGGTGGCTAATGGTAGCACAATGGGATATTATTAGAGCGAAGGTTTAAAGGCATTTGGCGCCAGGAAATTCCGCGTTACACAGAGATCGGTGTCGACTCATTCGACCAGCTTCCATCGACTCTTATTTCCTCTTCTCGATTCGTACCTACTTTTGTGCTTCTTTTTTTTTTCTTCTTAATATACAAGAAAGAGACAGAGGAGAGGAAAGAAGAAAAAAATACGCAATATTTGTCCCCCTGTTGCTAGCCCTCGATACAATATCCTTTCTACGGAGATGATTTTAATGGTGAACCGCGGGTGGTCCAACGTCGACGCCTCGAACTATTGTTACCGAGCATAGAACGGTCACAAACCGATTATACGAACGACCGTACATTAGGCAGCAATAAGTATACGCCAGTCGAATTTTCTAAATCCCATTAAGACTCTCGTTTTGATATTTAGTTTTCAACAAAGAAATTCTAATATGATTTTTTTTTTCTTATATGATAAACATATAACTGTTTATTTTTAAATCGAATTAAAAAAATTTACAGCTTCGATACTTACTAAAAATTGATGAACGTATGAATGTTACAATTCGATTAGTGGAAATTATATATCTATTTGGGATTCTACAAATTTTCTATACTTTAATTTCGATATTCATTTTTCAAATCAGATGTAGAGAACGCTATTGAAAGTTAATATAGATTTTAAAGATGGACGAATCCGTGGATATTTCTTATTCAATTATTTGACTGATAGAAATTGATATTCTATTCGTAAAAACTATATAGAGACGGTATCTTCCCGGTTTCGTTCAGCGTGCGTCACGACATATTGTGTGGAAAATGATATCGCGACCGAATATCGAAGATTCACGCTCGCAGATATGTATATATCGATAGATCGAGTTTTACAACTGGCGTGCAGTTTGAATGTACGTGACGAGAACTTATTAAATAGTGAATGAGACACGTATCAATTCGATTAATGTTAGATTTCAGACTAAATAAACGGGGATGGTATTTATTTTTTTATTGTCCATAGTTTTAACTGATATCGCGATCGTGTTGCGTTCGAATAAAGGGTGAGAATGATTCACGGGAAAAAATTATCGGGATACGACTTTTTACATGCATGCTTGTATACTATTGAAGGAACAGTCTCAAAAATTTAATATTCGATGTCATGCGATTATTTGATTATTTCTCTTTGTGATAAAGCAAATAAATACAAATATAAAAGTTGATTGTCAAAAACGATTCGTATCATTGCAAAAGAATAAAAGTTGTCAAATTTATCGCTAAAAAATAAATATACAATAAATTTGAATTTGAATTCGTAGAGAGAAAATGTGAAATTATAAGAAAAAGTAAAGGAACAAATAATGTAAATTTACATCAACGGTAAGGAGAAAGAGCATGTATTTTTACTTTATTTTTATTTGTACCAAATAAAATACCAAAAAATATCTAAAAATAAAATTCTATGTTAGAAGTAAACTGTAGAGAAATCTTCTCTTCTTTACAAAGTGAAACGATATATGAAAAAAAAAAGCAGCACTTTATATATATGGAGAATATTTTAATGAAAATAGAAAAATTTTAAGGAAAAAAAATATCAAGATATTTTCACTAGACTTTTGTATAAAATCTTTTTATATGAAAAAAAAAAAAAATCCAACTCAATCTCCATTATTTAAGAAATAATTTTTTTAAACGAGACAAAGTATAACAAAGATAAATTTTATTAAAAAACTACCATTCAAAACTTAATTCAAATGCTTTTTCCTTTTTTCCTTTCAAGTTACACATAGACTCACGAAAAACGTATATACGCACAATTATTAACACGTGCAAATTCACCTCGAAAATTCATCTGACGAGAGAGCATAATGCCAAATTGGTCGTTTCGCGGAGTTCGAAGTCTGGGTCAGCGACGACAAAAGACAACCGGCGGAAAAGTTGGTTGAATGCAAAGAGGGGACGACGACGTGACACGAGGCCCACAAAGTTAAAAAGTTCGAGGTTCGTCTAACAGTTGTCTGACGATAATTTAATTAACAGTCTGAGGGGTATGGCGCGCCGAAGGGGAAAGGAGGGTATTTAGTATCGATGTGAAACGATGATGAAGCCGTAGAGACGCGCGGGACAACAGTTTTCAGAAGCTTCCATCGTCCGCGAGTAAATGCTCATTTCGCGAGATTAAAGATCCTATATACTATTTATTTTAAGCTCTTTTACTTCTTGCTCACTGGAGAAGACAAGAATTAAACAATTTTAAAAATTTCTCTATCTTATATTAATATGGGTAATGTATTTATAACGTTAATTTAATATTTATTGAGCATTCTTTAAAAATTTGTACGATCATGAATTTCAAGAATACCGCAGTTTTATTTACTGTATGCTCGAGTTTTTATCGTGAGACACCCCCCTTGAACTCAGTGAAGCGAGTAATTTCACGCTGAAACAGTACGTCATAAATTTCCTAAAGTACTTGGGCTTTCAATCCCTCTTCGTCTTTTCGCTACCTGTCATTCTCTATGCTCGCCAATAAAGATAAATTAAAGATCAAATTTCACTCCGTTACGAGTTTCTAACGAACGAATACTCTCCCTCTTATCTAAAAAGATCTGAAAATATAATTTTGCCGAGAAAAATAAATTAGACTTAATTCTTAAAAATATCCTTAAAAAAACACACAGAGTTTTTCAATTTTCAACTTAAAAATTGAAAATTAAAAATTTAAAATATTTCGATACGTTTCAAGAAATAAAAGAATGACACAAAAAGAGGACATTTTAAAGTAAGGAGGGCAGTATGTACAGTATGTACTTTCTATTCGGGACACAGCGGGCAACGGTGGTCCCACTTTTTTTTTATTTATTCCCCTGGAGAGCTTTCGTTGAACGAGGACCACCATGCTCGCCTTAAAAAGGCAGCTTTTTATTAGTTCCTTTATCGCTCTCCGCTCTCGCGCCACCCACTTCATTCAATGCTAATCCGATTCTTATATTATATTATAATGCTCGTCGTCGAAACGACGTCATCGTGCCGCTTGGAATCGTTGGAAGCGCGTGCCTCCTGGCTTAACGATCGTTCTCTTTCCATCGAAATAGACGAAGATCGGTGAGTGAAAGAAGGAAGGAACAGGAATAACGGTGAACGGTGGGGGGGAAGAAACAGGTTGAAAGGAGGAAATTTCGCGCCACCATCGGATTGCGTCGACGTTGCAGTTTGCCGATGACCTTATTTGAGTCCCCTCATTATGTAAGAATTTCATGTCTCGGGCTTGTATGTATCGCGCATCGCTTAGATAATCGTTGAGCGGATTTCAACTCGACATTTGAACTGAAACTGAAGGCCTTTATTTGACTTCCTCCTTCTCGAGGGCTTGAGGGCTTCTTTTCTGTGATCGCGACGATCATCGTGGAAATTTGCAAAGAGAGAGAGAAGAAAAAAAAGAAAAAGAAAAAGAAAAAAGAAAGACCGTGGAGAGAAACCATATTCG